TCTGCCTAATTAACATTGCGCAAATACCTGTGGCTTCGTAATTATTTAAAACTCCGGTAACCATGGAATTATACAGACTGACAATAAGATAGACAAGGACAAACGGTAAATTCAACAAGATTTGTTGACGAAATGTCAACCTGTTTTCATAACCTCGAATATGGGTGTTTATAAATAAACCCTACAACACCCAACATTTGAATGGTTAACTCCAAACAAGCTAGTGCCTGTGTAATCTCCTTATTATTGTTATTGTGCTCTCAGTGCCCCTGGAAGGCCCTGATTCGGTTATGTCCAATACTTGTTCCTCTGTGCCTGGACCCCGAACATCTATCGTCCACTATCTTCCTCGAACCACTCTCCTCGCCTTTTGTTGGCGTGAGTTCTTTCAGGTTCTGCTATCTTACTGTAGCATTTCCCCTGAACTAATCGCATATCCGCAAATTCGTGAAAGGAAATTCAAAGTAAGTCACAGTTTGACAAAGGCTATCCACCTGTAACTATCTGTTAATGACAAAAAACATCATTGCCGCTGTGCCTTTTCATTAAAAAATTGTAGAAGAGAACTTTATTGATATCAAAAATTTTCGTAATTTGAAGCAAAGATGGAAATACTCACGTACTCCCCAAGAGAATACTCCCCAGGAGAATTTCTCGTACTCCCCAAGGGAGCCTCTCTCACCCCTTTAAAGGAATGACGCCAATTTTGAATCCCTGTATATAAGTTGAAACTTTTTATGAGCTCTAGAGTTATTGACGAAGTACCGACCGAGAACTACAAGATCCATTCCGCGATGTACGCCAACGTTTTGGGCTTACCAAGAATTTCTGTCAGAGAAATCAAAGGTGCGTTAAATGCACAGAACAACATCCCACAAGCGAATGTGGCATCACATACGCACAAGCATTTCAACAAAATTTAACGAATTATCAGCAAAATTCTAATGATATGGAAGAGTGAAGTCAATGATGAAAACTCTGATAAATCATATGGGGACGATAATAAACCTCATTACAACTCTTGTTAACAAAATACCATAATGGCACAGTTGTTAAAATTAGCAATGTGGAATGCCAACGGCTTTAACAAACATGTACAAGGGCTTAAAACATTCATCTCCAACACCAGTGTAGACGTCATGTTAGTATCCGAGACCGACTTCACCAATAAAAGCCACCTGACGATAGCATGATTTCACATCTACCACACTGATCACCCGGACGGCACTGCACACGGAGGTACAGCGATAATCATTAGAAGCAGCTTAAAACATCACAAACTGGAAACAGTTGCACTGGAAGATCGTGCAGGAAACTTCAACATCTCAGCAGCCTACTGTACCTTTACATGCTACGGTACCCTAAATTCAATAATAAGTAAGAACACTATGAGGATTTTTTCAAAACGCTCGGGAATAAAGTCATTGCAGTCGGAGATTACAATGCCAAGCCTACACAGTGGGGATCTAGATTGCTAATAGCTAAAAAAAGAAGAGAGCTGTTGGCTACGACTGTTGACTTCTAATAACTTGGACATTGCAATACAGAATGCGGCCTGGCATGCAACACCAAAACAGACCAGACCAGTCACGATCAATACAAGAACTATACACCTGCAGTAGTAAAAGAATAAATAGCGGAGAATCGAAAACTGAGAAAGAAGTGGCAGGAATCTAGAACTGAATCTGATAAAAATAAGTTTAATAATGCGGCCAAAAAGCTAAAGAAACTGTTAATGCATCTTAAGAATCGATCAATCCAGGAGCACCTGGAAGGTCTGTCTGCAACTAAATCCACAGAATACTCGCTCTGGCGAGCAACGAGAAGATGGAAAAGACCACAACAGCCTCCAATCAACCTCCAATTAAAGATGAAAATAACAAATGGGCCAGAGGCGACCTCGGAAAGGCGCATGCTTTTGCAACGCATCTCTCAAAAGTTTTTGAACCGTATGAAATGGAATCAACTCAAAAAGAAACTGCAGAATTAGAAAGATGTCTGGCAGAGCCTTTTCAAATGGATTTTACCATACAGCACATCACATATGCAGAGGTAAAAACAGTGATTATGGAAGAGGTAGACTCCAAAAAGGCTCCAGGATATGATCTTATTACTGGGCGAGTCCTGCAGATGTTAACCAAGAAGGGTTTTGTGGCAGTATTGCAGATCTTCAATGCAGTGTTGAGATGTAGTTATTATCCATATTAATGGAAAGTGGCTCAAATTATCATGATACCGGAACCCGGAGAAAAGCCTCAAGAGCAGCAATCTTACAGACCAATAAGCCTCCTGCCTGTGTTCTCGAAGGTACTAGAAAAACTAATACTGAAAAGACTTCAACCGATTCTACACGAAAAAAAACTAATACCACCGCATCAGTTTGGATTTCGACATACTGGTCTACTTTGCAAGCTGAAGAAAACTCTACCATACCACTTTTATTTAATGTAAATCGTATTTTTCGGAGAAACATTTCTTGGTAAAACATCAATCTGAATACAAGAATATGTTATAAAGTCGGGAGTTCCACAAGGCAGTGTGCTTGGACCGATACTGTATCTGATTTTCACCGTTGATCTGCCAACTACGAAGTTACCGAAAGTAGCTACATTTGCAGATGATACTGCGATATTAGCCTACCACAACAACTCAGCAGCAGCTTCAATACATCTCCAAGTTAATTCTCAACCAGATACAAATGTGGCTAAGGAAGTGGAGAATGAAAGCCAATGAAAGCAAGTCGGTCCATGTAACATTTACGATGAGAAGAGAGGTCTGGGATTCTCTGATTGGACAAACGCTTAACATGACAAAGGCATATATTTGCAAAAAGGAAACAGCTAGGACTCAAAATGCGACAATTGTATTGGTTGGTCGGGATGAACTTAAATCAGTTAAACATCGAATACAAACTGCTTTTGTACAAATCAATTTTGAAGCTTATATGGTGCTACGGAATACAGGCTGTGGGGTACAGCTAGCAACTCGAATCTGGAGATCCTGCAACGATTTCAAAACAAAGTTATGCGCATAGTAACCATGGTGCGTCCCAAATGCAGTGAAAGAGAGGGACGAACAAATACAAGAACAAAGTTAAAGAACCTCTAACCAGTTAGTTCGCGATCTTTACAAGACGACTGGTGAAGTGCGTCGATTAAAACGTTTTAAACCAACGGATCTAGTAGATAGGTTTAGTTTAGTAAAAAAGAAAGTTTCATTATGACCATCCATACCAGAGGAGCCGGATAATGCATACCGAGAGTGCTCTTATGATCATGTGCTTACGGGACACCCTGTCTATGTACTTCTCATTTAAATTATTTTGTTAAACTTGTTCTTAAAGTAAATACAACTAAATCTGGAGTTTAAACTATAATTTACATTTATTTTCAGAGGAATTGGTTAAGGGGCTGATCCCTATGTGTGGGGAAGTTAGATCAGCACTGGAACTAGAGCCATGTACAGATGCCAACAGACCAAGAGGCAGAAAAATTTCCGAGCTCCCCAGTTCCCCTGACCTCCAGTCGACAAAGAAATTGAGATCTTCACTCACAGAAGATGATTTTCTGCCTCGTTTAGAGGCGCGTGAAGGTACAGCTTTACGGTTGACTGTGTTTCCAACTCAATATTTCCCAATTGGTTCAACTCCATCAGAAATTACATATCATTCTCTGGATTCATCCTATTTGTTGGAGCAAGTCATTAACAGCTACAAAGAGTTAGTATAGTATTTTTTGCTAAAAAATTATTTTTAATTTTTAGATTGTTGCCTACTTATCCGGTGCTGTCCGTCGCCTCAAGGTGATGGATAGTTAATCTATGCACGATAAATTTTGGCCGGTTGACTAGTTTCGAGTTTGTGCCGGAAAAAAATCGATTAACAGCAAGCTTTTCCTGTAAATTTTTGGTAATTATCTATGAAATTCTGGGCTTTTCTCCCCTCATGACCCAAACCCCTGGTACGCACTCCAAAATAATCTGAACTATTGCCAATTGTCCACAAAAGTAGCGAAACATTCTGTGTTCATAAGAAAAAATTAATTCGATTTGACTCATATTGACATATCGATGGTCCAGTTTCTTACAGCAACAAGTCCAAATTTGGCAATTTTTAGTTTAATATGTCAATATGTCCAAAATTAAGTAGTTAATCTTTTGCATACGTCAACAACTCTCAACTTTAAACGAGATATTTCCTTTTTGCGTTAAGCCGAATTTATAATTATTCTAGTTTAGCAAAGCAACATTTAGACTCTTTAATTTAAATGTATTGGATAATTATGTCAGTTCCATAGACCAATATTTTGAGTTATTGCCTTATGGTACTAAACAAATCGCAAAATATCTTATGTTATTCGCAGCAAATGAGATTAATTGCTTGTCATTATTTTTTGAGAAAATCGTCGGTTTGGTGTTTGTGCTTTTCGGTTACCAAAAATAGTTATTTAATTGCAAAATGGATTAATTTATTTGCATACAACGTTGTGGCGAAACAAGAGCCCAATATATGTTGCGTTTGGCAAGAAAAGAGGCAGTTTTTTACGAAGTAGGCAACGGAGCCCTTAGTTTAAATTAATGGTTTTTCAAATAAATTATGAAATAACGAAACTCCATTTGAAGGAAAAATCAGCCCAAATCGATGTAGATAAAAAAATTATTAGTGACAATACTGTCATAAATGAATATGCAAAAGATGGAACCTATACTAGATATAATAAAAAGAAATGTGGAGCCAGAATATACAACGTACTTAGAGGGTAGATACAGAAAACAATATAGAGGAAAACATTATGGTTAAAAAGAATTTCGTCAATTACAATAACGATTTGACATTTTAACAGATGCCACCAACCAAAGTTGACGACTGAGCTACCCTGTACGTTGACAACAGCTACAGCAGATAATAGTGATTCCGATTAGAAGTGTGTAGTTTAGGTTAGATAGTTTGCAGGGTGAATGTGAACAGACTAGTCTATTTACCGAGTACAATTATTCAAGTTAAAAGTTTTCTATAACAAAAAAAGTATACTTATAAAATACTGATAAAAAGCGGGCACCTCAACATAGGAAACGATGTCGACAAGTCGCTTAATTACTAGCTTCATACGGTAACAAGTCACAAAATCATTACTGATGTCTTTAAAATTATTAAAACAAGTACTTTTTGTGACTTATTATTGTTATGAGACGGTCTACTAAAAAAAAAACCTGTAATGTTTAACATTGAATTTCTCAAAACAATGATTTTTGACTTGTTGCTGTACGGAACTGAACCATCGATATTATTTACTATACCAGCCATTGCCAGAAATATGTTTGAATTTATGAAACTGAATTAAGAACGTTTAAGTCTCATTTTTTAAATTTTTTGATTGCTTTAATAGCAAACGAATGGCAGTTGTCAATATGTAGTCAAAATGTCGGTGAATCCTCGTTCTGGTAGAGATGGCGGAGTAATATTATTGAAAAGAAAAAAGGAGCAGTTTACTATTCACCTGACAAAAAAAGTACCGAAACCAGAGCAAATACCTACCAGAATGTCCCTAAGAAATAATCAAGGAAAAACAAATAATAGATTTGACAAACGGTCGAATTTCTTCGGCCGACGCGCCGTGGTGGATGCCTTTGTTATTTTATGGAAATGGGGTGAATTTCAGGGGATGAAAAGTGATGGAAAACTGCATTTTCTCGAAAAATCTACAGGAAGAAGTTGTTTGAAATGTGATTGTCTATAAGCTGAACAAATTGTTAATCGCAAGTGCGAGGGTCCTGGGGCGCCGGATTTCCTAGACAATTACCGATTTCTTTATCGGCAGATCATTGCCTGGTTGGTGTGTGGGTTATTTAACAACGGTGGTTAATTAACGTTCGGTGGCAAATCGGGAAGTAAGCAATAAGCTTTAAGCTGAAGGTGTGCGGGGGGCTACCGGTAATTCCAAATATCCTATGGAAGTTTAGATCTAGGAAGAATCCCCGTTCTCTATGTACTTTTACACTTACGTTCCTTTCGCGACGACGCACCAATCGCGTGTTCAAAGGTGGTGAACGTCTAATCAGCAACTCCTTTCCCACGTGCCTGCCATGTGAGAAGATAAAGAAAAGAAAAAAAAGAATCTGAGTGAAAAATGGAGGAAAGATTGTAATAAATATGGGCATATAAAAATTATCTTCGTATGGACTGTGAAATATTCAAAACTTTGTTGGATTTAGTCTCACAATTCATTTTGTTCAATTATTCTAAAATAGTAGATTATTGTTATTCAACATAAATAAATGGAAATCTTATCATTTTAGGTATGTCAAACTCAATAATTAGTAAAATAAATTACTCAAATAGTAGGTGTAAAATGTGAAGGACACAAAACAAAAAAAAACAATTAAAAAATATATAAGTTTGAATATTTAAGTCTCATTTACAAACCGTTTAATAACTACAAATTATTTTTTTACTGTACCTCTGCATACATACAAATACAATACAGCTGCGTTTATAATAATTTATTTATAATTCGTATTGTGTTTATTTTCTTGCCTTAAATTGCACGAAAAAATCACGCGCAAAAAGTACTATATGCAAAAGCTTGTGCAAAAGTTTGAAATTCGTTACCGCAACGCAAATCCTGCCGATGTTAACGTGCAACTTTTCACTTCCGTACGCCAGAATTTTTCTTTAGTCTGGAACGGGGCGCTTCTATCGCACACGATAGAACGTTAGTGTAAAGGTACCTTATGAGAGTGCTGTCTGTTTTTTTCGAATATTTCAGTGAGATTAATTGGTTAGGGTACCCATTTCTAACTTCAGATGAAAACCCAGCCTACTACGACTGCGAATAGGAGCAATTCGCTATATTTTGCTTTGCGTTAGAGATATCGAAAAAAGTTGTTCAGAATGTTATTTGAACGGTAAATAGCGAGTTTCAAGTCAAAATTTTGGCATTCTTTTAAATTTGAAACTTGATATTTATCGTTAAAATAACATTCTGAACAACTTTTTCTAGTAACTTTTTCCGATATCTCTAACGCATCGCAAAATATAGCGGATTGCCCCTATTTGCAAAGTCGTAGTAGGCTGGGTTTTTATCTGAAGATAGAATGGGTACTCTAAACAATTAGCTCATAACATTCTACCTCTGTACCGAAACTAAAAACCTTGCTTCTAAAAATGACTAAAATACAGGGGTGTTTCCATCTTAAGTGCGACACACTGTATACCGAGATGATAGTAATATTTCGTTTATAGAAACTATTTGATTATTCCCATTGCAAAGTCATACCTTCCGAGTTATAATATTTATGATATATTTCAGTATTCACCGCAAGTCAAGGCCCAACGGCTCTGACGTCACGAGGACCATTTCGCCATTCTGTGAGAGTGAGTGCGAGTCAGCCTCCTCTAGTTCTATGGCTTCTTACCGACTCGGCCTACTCGTGACGTCAGAGCAGTTGGGCCGTGACTTGCGGTGGTGCCGATCAGGGTGAGGTTCGCCAGACCTCACACTTAATAATATCAATCGAATGAGTAGAAAACATCTCATAAAGTTAAGCATAAAGATTGATTGCTTTTCAGAAAATAATTGACCATTTAAAAGATCTGAGACTTTATTATTTATTAGTAAAAGTTATTTGCTCTTAATGTAGAATCAAATTTTTTTAGCTCTGATTTCCAAATCGTAATTTGTAATAATTCTTCTTTAAGTAATAGCATAGTTTAAGTAATAGCACATCTTCAGCTTGATCTTTACATAAACCTGTTATTACCATCGATTACAGGATTATATTCTAATGATTTTTTCCACCCAATTTTAGGTCCAGTCAGATTTTAGGGGAGCTAGAGTTTTGTTACATATGCTTCTTAGTTGGTCATAGCCTTGAGGCTTTTGAGCAATGGAAGAAAATATTTAGCCTGTTCTGCTCCTGTGAAGATGCTATCAAGAAACACCGTCAACTGTATGACCTGTTTTTATCCGTCATAGAGGTGCAAGTTCAAGAAACACCTGAAGAATTTTTAGCCGATATTGTGGCAAACAATAATTTAGTTTATGTCAAATTGAGAGAATTGTTCAAGTTTGTCAAAAGCTCAGATGTTGATGGAAAATTGAAATGTAAAGCTGACAGGCTAAAGAAGACGTTAACTAATGTTTATCAGTGGGATTTTAGTCATTTGGAGTCTGAGGATGAGGAGGATGCACCCGTCATTGTCGAATTGTAAAGTTGGTTGATGGTTAATATAAATAAACTACTGCTTGGAGCAAATTTCACGCTTTTCATTTGCGGTTTGATAATGTTTGGGGAAAGTAACGGACATATTGCGTACTATTTCTAAAGTACCACCTATGACTGGACGATTTTCATTGGGAGCAAAAGTAAGTCAGTTTACAATTAGTAAAATAATGTTTTTTCGGCTCAATTTGGTGGGAAAATAAAAACTAAACCAATAAAGGAAGGAAACATGTCTGAAGAAAATCTGCAATTGAACGCCTAAAATGGAAACTTAGATTTTTTTCTGACTGAAAGCAAATTAGACAAAATCTTTTCTAAGCAACATTCAATATAATACATCTACATATGTCTGGATGACAAGAAAGTCGACGACGTTCTAAAAACTTAATGCATAAATAACCCTATGTTCATTCCTCGTTGAAGATTTAAGATAATGTGATTTAAAACATTAGGCCACAATGAAGTTACACAAGGAATGGTAAAGTTTTCTGGCGGTATTAGTCACCAAAAAATATTTATTGGTGTATTTAATCAATTTATGACATAAATTGGAAAGTGTTGCAATGAACTACTCTTGTTACTTTTCTTAAAGGGACATTTGCTTGCCGTGGCCTCATAGCGGCAAGTTTTCGAAAGACAAAATGGGATTTTTTTAAAGATATTATATATATAAATAAAGCCAATATCAACATACCTACTTAGTACATATATTGCACAAAAATTGCTTTCAGAAGTAAACAATCAAACATTATTTAAAGAAAGAAGGGAAATAACAAATTCTTAACAATGAATAAGAACAATTAATATAGACAAGTAGCGAAACCAGGATATTGAACTGGGGAGGCTGAGGCCATAAAAAGTTACATCGTTGTATCGACGTATCGTAACCTCCAAGTTCTGGATGGAATTTACGTGTTTTTGAAATATTTAGTTTATAAAGTTACAGAATTATAAAATGTTATTCGTCATTCAGCCCTCTGTGTCCATTGTTGAACGTAGGCCTCACTAATCATTCTCCATTCCAATCAATTTTGTGCTGTTTGTATCCAGTTGCCGCGGATTCTCTTAATATAGTCTGACCACCGCGTAGGCGGTCTTCCGTAGCGGACTTCACTTGTCCGCTCTAGGTCTCCACTCAAGGAGCCTGTTTTCCCATCGAACATCCCGCATCCGTGCAACGTGGCCAGCCCAGTTCCACTTAAGCGTCGCAATAATAGCTGCAACGACATCGCTGACCCCTGTTCTACCGCGCAAATCTTCGTTTCTTATGTGAACCTGCAAGGTCACACCAAGCATGGATCTCTCCATCTTCCTCTGCGTAACTCTAAGTTTGTTTGTTAGCTGTTGATGCTGTTAGTGTTAGTGTTTCTGAGCCATATGTCATTACTGGCAGCACGCACTGATCGAAAACCCTTCTTTTTAGATTGACGGTAATGCCACTCTTGAAAACGTCTTTAAGTCTTCCAAATGCTGCTCATGAGAAAGTGAGCCTTCTCTTTAGGTCGCGTGTCTGGTTATTCCTTGAGATGCTGACCTTATGGCCAAGGTACACATTATCACATCATCCACCATTTGAATTTCAGCTCTGCTAATCTTCAAGTCACAGCTGGGAACATAGTTGGTCATGAATTTTGTATTTGACATTAAGACCGACTTTACCACACACCTCTTGCAGGTCCTGCAACATCAGTCGCATTTCTTCTAGATTGTCCGAGAACAGCACTATATCATCCGCAAAACGTAAGTTGTTCAGGTTCTTGCCATGTATGTTTATACCTCTCTAACTCCAGTCCATTTGCTTGAATCGACTCTCCATGACTGGCCCTTGTTGCATTTTTGTAGATATTGTGGATCAGTTTGATATATCGGTAGTCAACTCTACATTCCACAATGCATTTAGCTCTATGGTATCGAAGGCTTTGTAGAAGTCCACGAATGTCATTACTAAAGCTCTGTTGTATTCGATGTGCGTTGAGTTTGTGCATTCCATTAATGCTGCGAATGTAACTACATTAAACTTGCAATAAAACAAGTACTTAGATAAAAAGAGTAAAAAAACAAGTCACAAAAAAGCTTACATTAAAGCATAAATGCTATGCATCAATCTTTGAAAATAATATTAATACCTATTTAACTATAAAATACCATCCCAGCAGGAATAAAAATAATTAGTACAAATATTTCTCAAATTTATCTTTTTATAGTGCCTAGACTGCTTAGACTTGGACCATTATTTACAGTAAATCGGTTAATATAAAATCATCACGATACACATGTTCTACGATTTATTTGTTTGTTTGAAATGAATTTATTACACTTATTAGTGAGTTGAGTATTTGTTATTTAAAAAGTTATATAGTTTTTCTAATTCTTCAGTTTCAATGTTTGTTAGAATTCCTACAATAAGCCTACTGTTCGTTTCCATAATCTTCTCACTGGTGGTGAATGATATGGCAATGGTATAGTTTTTAAAGTCTGATTAGTTAAAAACCAAAATTAACGTCTTATTGACGGCTGTTATGAACTTAAATTTCACATATACCTACGAATTTCAGAACAGTATCATGTGATATTACGTCAGTGTGTTCTGTGTTGGTTGGGAACTCGTTGGGAAGGACCCAACGGGTTGAACATAGACGTTCATGCATGTAAGTTTGAAATTCGCAAACTTTAGTGATTTAAGAAAAATTCTTGAATTAGTCGTGGATAAAGTTCACTACACACTCGGATGTTATGGGCATTATTCTCCTCCTAATCAGCGATAGTTACTCGCCTACTACCTACTTCAACCGCAAATATCACCCATGGGAATAATGGTTATAATAAGATCCTCGTATCATAATTTATTATTACTCTAGCCATTAGATAACTTTGAATTAATTTGATTTTTCTACAAACTACACTTATATTATATTTGGATTATTCACTGGTCTCTAGAATGTCTGCCCGGGAAATTAGACCATCTATATCTTCAAAGTAGGAATAACCAGATATACAGGGCGATTTACGTAGACCGTATTAGAAGTTTTAAAACTTTTGTTCTGTCATAACGGGTCGTGCCGAAACCATGTAAATTATATTTAGCCCTCTAGATATACGGGGTATACCAACAGTGGCGTAGCAAGCTTGACTCGGGCGCACAATACCTCTTTNTTTCGAAAACCATATAATATTACATCGCTTCTCCGGAAGAACAATGACGTAACTGCAAATTTTGACTTTTTGAGTTAATTATGGCATTATTACAAAAAAATTTAAATTTCTGTAGTGGAACAACGACGTAATGATAGAACGTCGAGTTTTCGCTACAGGGCAGATGCGTCATTGTTCCAATGCCGTATTTTTAACCATGCGTCCAGATGAACAGTGACCTAAGAGTTAGTAGCGTCTGAGCTAGCAAATCTGGTGCATGGATTTTGGTACAACAAGGACGTAAGTGCTGGTGTTGTATATTTTGTTAGTATATACAGATTCATCTTCTGCATGTATTTATACGCAGTGGAAACGTTACAAATAAACTCTGTTACTCACAAATTCCTCATATGTGGCCATACACAGAATGAGGGCGACACCATCCATAGTATTATCGATAAATGTATGAAGAGAGCCAAAAAATCAGGGCACATATACGTGCCTGACCAAATTGAGGACCAAAATAAGGAATTAAAAAAAACTGGAAATCCTTTTGTCGTGAAAGAAATCAGTTATGACGACTTTATAGATTTAAAATCTATAAATAAAATGTGTAATGAAATTGGTTTTAATTCCCAGAAAAATCTAGAAGGTTGTCAGATTAAGATGTCAGATATAAAAGTCGTAAAATTTGTGAAAGAGCGATGTACCTATACTTCTACAAATCCAGCTACAAATAGACTACTTGGGTACAAGTTAGGAGCCGAACCATTGGAACTAGACGCTCTTGGACTAAGTGAAAATAAAATAAAATATTTACAAATTTTGTAAACAACTAACATTATTCCAAAATACTATGAACCGTTTTTTAGTTTTTAGTAGCTTGTTTTGAATTTTGGCTTTTGTAATGTTATTAATAAATATTTCTTATTCAACTTAATTTTTCTGTTGTCATTTGATAAAGTTGACTGTGACTAAAATAAAGTATTCATCTAACAATTTCAATAATTAATCTTGTCACAACTATTATTACTGCTGCCTTTCCTAATCAACAATGACGCAAATGGAACTTTTTGGTCTTTTAAGGCCTACACATCTTCATATGTTTTAAAAATTATAAAATACGTAGCAGCATCTAAAACTAGGATAAATTAGCTATCTCGAAGTCCCCATCGATTATATCCAAATTGTCCCTTAAAGTCTCAGTGTTACTTTCATTCTTATAATTTTCTTAATTTGCGATTTCTGAAAAATCATCAATTTGCACTTGCGTCACTGTTCTTCCGGAGGAGCGATATGTAAAATATACTCGCAAATTAATAAATATATTATGATTCAGAATTAGTTCAAAAGGTACCTATTATTTATTTTACATATGGATACAGTTTTAAAACAATAAAAAGTTAATATTTATTATCTCTAAGGAAATGCATACATTTATAATCATTTATAATCATCATCATAAATATATGATTATAATACATTAATAAAACATGTCTAAATTATCCTTAATTTTGATGAGCAAATTTATCTATAATATCATCAAAGGTGATCATTTACAATTTTTTTCTTTCCATACATACAAATGCTCGGTCTCTAGGCGATCTTTTTCCATCGTTGATCGTAGATACAAATGTTAAAATTTATTTTTATTTGCTGAATGAACGTTCGCAGCCAGCAATTGATACTGAGATAGTCAGGAGTATTTGAAGTATCACTCTCAGGTTCTCAGGTTTGGAAAAACATCTTCCCCATTCAAGATTAAAAAAGTAAGAAATTCTATTGGAGTTTTAGGTTGAATTTCTTTTCGACTGCGGAGTAACATTTTGCAGTTACACATTTCGATAAAGAGTTCTATTCATTTATCAACATTATCCTTGTTTACTAAATTTTCAAAGTTTAGTAGAAATCCAAGTTGAAATCTTGAATGAATAAAGGTCCCTTAATCGTGTAAATCGTGTACATATTGCTTGTTGGAGACGATCAAAAACGCTTTTCATAAGGCGATAAATTTCACTTTCTGCGGAAAGTCCAACCAATTCTCCGGACATTTTGCGGCGTCTTATTACACGTATTGTATGTATCAATATCCCATTTTTCACAAAGAGACTTCGTTTTTTCTGTTGCCTCTTCATAGAACTTGTCTCGAATTTAGGCTAGTTCAGTCGCTAATGATCATGAAACGCTTCTCTAAAATTCATTTTAGCAACTGAGGTAATCTGAGCTGAAGACTATCAATCCTCCTTAAGATTTCATACCAGAAATTAACTAAAGTTATGAATATGAAACTAAAAGTTAGTATATTTTGCAACAGAATTGTAGATTCACTTCTGGTGTCACTTGTAGTGGTATTTTCCTCTGCTAATTTTTCTAGTAGTTCTATATTTTCTAGCTCATCGACGATAACGACGCTTACCGCTTGCATTCTGGCGCTCCATCGTGTTTCAGACTCACTTTTGACAGTTTTTGATAAAACCTTTTTTAATAATTCCCATCGTAACGTTGAACGTGAGAAAAAGAGATATTTCCTTTCAATTATTCCAAACCATGTCACAACGATTATTCTCTGTTGAACGCCAGATGTGTGACCTGCCATCACGACAGCATTATCGTAACATTATGATCTGCAGTTTGTTAATGAAATTTTATCGGAATTTAAGTGCTTAAGTTTCATTTAAGTGTTTTCAATCGAGGCTGCATCTTTATCATGTATTTCAATAAAGCTCGTTTACAGTTTTTCTTCCTTTTCATCTACGAATTAACATTTATTATATTACACTGGCACTAAATTTAAAATATGTTGTTTGTTTTGCGGACCATTTAGCGCCCCTTTTTTTGTAAAGAGCTACTCCAACTTTCAATCGGAAGGCCAATCCAACCAATGCTAAAGAAATTAGGGGTTTGCATTTAAAATAAGAAAGTTAAGTTATCGTTTTCGTACACCCTGTATATCTAGAGGGCTAAATGTATTTTACATGGTTTCGGCACGACTCGTTACTCGTTATTACCGGAAACAAAAAAAGTTGGAAAACTTCTAATGCTCGATCTACGTAAATCACCCTGTATACAATGTTTAAACAAATTAAGCATAATTCAGTAAATCATTGGAATCTAAAAGCAAAAATAAACGGTGGCTTCCTGTTACGAAATCTCAGGTCAATTTTAGTTGGTCAAAAGCTTGGGTTGTGTTCAAACAATGCCAGCTTGTCTATTGTGCATATCGATATCGCACTTTCGCACAATGGCGTTAATAATTCACACGGCGTTAATAATTCCTCTGATTATTTGCTTAGAAAAAATGCTTTTTTAATGATCTTTTAAAATCAGCACCATTTTTATTGGATTTTAGGCTCATTTTTGCACTTTTCTATTTTAAACCTAATTGTCCGTTTTTTTTATAGCATTGCAAATATTGGAAATTATTCCCTGAATCTTTAGAGTTTTAATTCTGCCGTAATTTCACTTTCAATTTGAGTACTTTCATTTATACCCGCTAAACATGAAACATGACTGAAACGTTTCAAATGTGCACTTATATTGCACAAATGTAACATATCATGGAAACGTTTCAAAAATGATTCAGAAACGTCTTTAGCGCACATGAAATTCATGGTTCTACCGCCTCCCATCGCGCATGGCATTTATTATCTTATAAAACATAACCACTACCGTCTCTCCGAACAACGCATTATCTGTATAGGTAAGTATATTTAGCTAAATTAGCTCTAACTTAGACCCTGTGGACGATGTTATACTGTCCTCATTTCGAGTTGTTCAGTTCATTTATGTACTAAAAGGCTTATGAATATTATTTGAGGGCAATCAAATGAGCCGAACAAAGAAAAGAAAGATTTCTATCAGGCATCTTTGGCGTTTGGTGAACAAGAACGTA